TCGACTTTATCTTTGCATCCTCAGTTTGAGTGCGAATATTCAGGTGGCTCTGGAGTATCTGAATATTTCCTCTCGGGATAATATTTTTAATGATTCCTGGGGGACTGACTTGGACGAAGTAAAGTTTATAACGAAAAAGTTTCAAAATATGAAAGCTCCAGGTGATGATGGAATTTTCTATATCCTCATCAAAAAAAGCTTCTAGCTACCGTCCAATAAGTTTGCTTTCTTCAATAAGTAAACTTTCTGAAAGGATAATTTTAAATAGAATGATGCTTCACATCAATACGAACTCAATTTTTGCAGATGAGCAGTTTGGATTTCACCATGGACATCATCAACTCGGGCTACCAATTTAATTAGTTTTAACAAATCTGGCTGCTCAATTAGAGTTGCTCTTCTAGACATAGAAAAAGCATTCGACAGTGTTTGCAAAAAGGATTGATTGTCAAATAAAAAAAAATCCAATCTATATTATAAAATTAGTTCAAAATTGAAGCAATTGGGTTGTTTTGCGGACTGCTTAAATAAAACAGCAAAAAAAAGTATTATCTTCCATTTGATTCCACTTTATTAATTTTGGTATCCATGACAGATACGTATGTCGACTACAATGTGCAGTCTTCATCAATGTCATTCCCACTAAAGACTTATATCTAAATCCTTATCCTTTTGTTAGACTTATAACAAAAACCTAACTAGGAAAAAAGCACTTCAAAGGATTCAGAACAAAATTCAGAAGATGATTTTGTAGTTGCCTCCCTGGTACAGTACTACCGAGGTACACATAATTTCGAATGTATAGACTCTAGATCAAATGTCCAACAAAATAATTAATAATTTCAGACAAAAATCGTTGCAATCCTTAATTGCTACGATAAATTCTATTTATAATTAGATAAGATTTAATTTAAGTTTTTAGTTATAAGATGTAATTTGTTATTGAAAACCTTTTTTTTTTTGTTTCTTCATTTAAGAGGTTTTCAGCCTTGTTTCCTAGGCTGGTTTGCCTAGGAAACCTGTTTAAAATACTGAACTGTCAAGGCAAGAATAATGTAAACTCGAATGTAAACACATATAGATACATATTACACTGAAAACGAAACTAGCTCAGATAGTTAGTCACTTTAACTCAGTAGTGAGTCACTTTTATTCATTCGTATGGATAAATTTCTAAAATTATAGGTCACTCAACGTATGAGTACCTAACCTTAGCTTTTAGAAATTTATCCATACGAATGAATAAAAGCGACTCACTCTCTGAGTAAGATTCGTTTTCAGTGCATTACAAGTTTTGTGCACTCTAAGCTACGATTAACTAAAATTATCGGTATTTTTACCGATAAAGATCGTTACTTTTTACTTTAAATATGCTATTTTTTACGTTAATTATTGGTTATCCATGATTATTGATAATTTTGGTATGTGCAGTTTCTTCGATTATCGGTAATTTTTACCGATATCTAGGTATTCTTTACCGACTTTAAGGTATGTGCATCTAAGTGTGTAAGTTACTTTTGCACACTCTAAGCTACGATTACCTAGAATTATCTTTATTTCATACCAATAAAAATCGTTACTTTTAACTTTAAGGCTGTGGTCCATTTGGTGAATTTTCACTTAAATTTGACACTTCGAAACTAAATTATAATGTTCGAAAATCCCTCTGTTGTTGATCGGCCAATTTTCGAGAAGGTGTGTGTCAAAATTGATTCCTTGTCTGTCAGATATAAGTCTGCTGGAATAGCAGGTTAATTTGGAAATTTTCCATCTGTCAAGTTTAAGTGAAAATTCGCCAAATGGAACACAGCCTAAGTATGCTATTTTTTACTACAAATTAGGACATTTTTAACGATAATTTTTGGTAATCCATAGTTACCGATAATTTAGGTATGTGCATTTTATTTGATTATCGGTATTTTTTAGGTATTCTTTACCGACTTTGAGATATGTGCATTTCAGCGTTGTCATATTGTTTTCAAGCTTATCGGTTTTTTTCCTTGATTTGTTTTCCGTCGATCTTGTTTTCCGGGCTGAGCACCAATGCTACCGACGCCAGGGAGGCAGCTCCCACACCTGGCCTCTACCTTTCGACCCATCAACTCATAAACCGGGGACCAACGGCTTTACATACCTGAAATCCCCGCTTACCACTTACCTTTTTTTTTCGAGAGTTGACCAACTGCAGTCTTAATAGGCTAGCATCTCGGTTGGGCTCTCCATGCGATACACAATACTAACAGACGACTTGAGCTATGGTGCTCACTAGGTCACTGCAGCTTTTAGGCTCGTATTGTGATCAACTGTGTATTAGATTACGACCATATATATATATGTGGTAAATCATTTAAATGTAAATGGAATACAGTAATGTCCCGATTTTGTCAGCCCCCTTTTTTGAAAATGTTTTCCAATGTTCTACAAAACCCATGCCCTTTTTCAGTAATCTTCTTGAACCTGCACTTTAAATATCCCTCTTAACGAATGACGAATGAGAAAAAATTAGATTTATGATTATGTGAAATTATTGACAGAAAAAAATTTGAAGCGCGGAGGGGCTGACAAAATCGGGTCATTACTGTATTTAAAATAAATAAATTTATTCTTATGGTTGTTTGATTATTAATTGCTATTATTACCTGCTTAGAGTTGGCTCTTTTAAAATACTGTGTAGAATTTACCTCATTACTCCTCAGCTCTATCGATTTGCGTTCCTGCGTGGTTTTTGTGATAGAACCACGCTCAGCATATTATCCTGTAGTACGACTTGGGCATGCACCATGCAAGTAACTCATCTCTCGTCAAAATGATGGGATATGGGGTGATGGTGAAGGGATATAGAAAACGAATAAAAGAACAGAGCGAAAGGTATTAGTATTGGTTACATTAACCACCCCCCTCCGGGGGGGCCCCTCACACACACACACACACAACGAAAAAGAAACATAAATGCACAGACAAACAGAAATAACACATTTAATATTTCTCTCCACAAAACATAGTCCCTAAAACACTACCGCCATCTGTTGAGTATCATGTGATGGATAGTACGCTGAACAGATGGTGCTAGTGTGCATACGTCAAACGCAAGGGAACCGACCGTGCGCGCCACAGGGGGCGGCACCACCAACCAAAAACACTCAAATTGACCGTCAAATGCGTATTCGATGAACAACCTGCGAGTGTTATGTCTGTTTGTCTGTGATAGATGGGTTATTAGGAAAGTACAACTACATTATAACTATTAGTGCAATGGATGAACGTTAGTTTCGGGGTCATGTTAGTGTTAGAGTTTTGTTAGTATTGACCCGTATTCAGCCCTGTCGGCCCACGAACACTAGTCGCAGGCAGTTGTTGTTAGGACATGCAACACTGTCACTGCTACTATGTTAGAGGTATGACCCGTCAAGTTTTGAAGTGCAAAAAAAAACTGTTAGAACTTTCTTATAAATTAACTTCACACTCAAAGCAAACTATTTACCTTAGCATTACAAAAGCGAATTTAAAATTACTATTTTATTTTATGCTAATATTAAAATTATGATAAAACTACAATTTACGGCTCCGTGAAATTAACTCGCATGAACCTTTCAAATCAATGAACTGGAGAAAAACTACAATTTCAACAAATTGCAAAAAAAAAATCAAAGCGACACTAGACAAATCATCATCAAGCCCCTCATCCTTGGACAGGGGGTAATCACGCTTACCACTTATCGGTATCAAAAGTTTTAAAAAAATAGGTATTTAATGGTATTTACTGTTTTAATTTATTAAAAAAAACCGTTTTTCAAGGCGAAATATAAACTTTTGGACTAGAACGGAAAATTTACTTTCCAAGAGAAGTCGAAAAAATTTTCGGAGAATATTTGAATTAGCTTCTGAAGTAAGCACAACATCTTCCAGAGAAAGAAGAAAGAAGCTCTTCTGGAGGAAGTTTGAAGAACGTTCAAAGAAAGTCGGATAAACATCCTGGGAACTTCCAAGACAATATTAGGTGATTTCTGGGGAAACTTTGAAGAAATTTTCGAAAAAAAATCAGACGACGCATCCAGAGGGTTTTAGAAACCGGAAAAAAATTCAGGGGAAGCTTGAAGAAGCTCAGAAAAACCTTCCAATACAAGTCAGTAAAAACCATCGAAGGAAGCTAATGGAGAAACTTCCAGAGAAAGACGAAAGAAACTTCTGAGAGAAATCTATAGATTCTTCCGGTTGAAGTTTAAAGGAACTTCTTGGAGAATGCGGAAGAAACTTCATAAGGTAGTCTGTATGAAACTTCTGTAGAAGGTCAGCACCTTCTTCCAGCAAATGCCAGAGGGTTTACGGGACAGTCGATAGAAACTTCTAGGAAAAGTTGGGAAAAGAACTCCGGAAGCAAGAAAGATATTTCCAGTGGAAATCGGAAGAATCTTCTAGGGAAAGTAAGCACAATATTCCGGGGGAAGTTGGAAAAAAAACTGACAGGAAATGACGGAAGAACCTTTCCAGCGAAACCAGAAGCTTCCGAGGGATGTCGAAATAACTTTCTGGGAGGAATCACAAAATAACTTCCAAGCCAAAATAAAATAAATAAAAAGTTAAAAAATTTGACCTATTTGGTGACTGGCTAAAAATATTTCCCGATTTTCAGAAAATATCAGGATAAGCCATCAGCTGTTTCTCGATTCCTGGGTAGCCATCAGTATAACTGGCAACGCCCTGCCTTAATAAACGGGTACCATACACTAACGATATCATAGATGGTACGACCATACGGCCATACCATAAAGTTGGGATGATATCCCGAATTGGTGGTTAGGCGCTTTTTATGGTTATTTTTAAGCGAGTGCATCTTAGCGTGTAGATAAAAACATGAATGTAAATTGATTTGAATTTGAAACAGCAAAAAAAAACATCAGCTAAATGTCAAGTCCATGTTGGGCTAAAGTTGGGTCAATGTCGACCCAATTTAATGGACAATGTCGATTTTTCCTAAAATTATGACTGAAAATACACCTTACCTCCGGTTCGCCCGTTAGTTGATTAGTCTGAATAAGAATTTTTCCAATTCTTATATGTTTGCAAACATCACTGACGGCCTGCTCCATTGTTTCTCCAGCACGAAGGATAGACACACCGCAGATTTTCTGACAAGCCATACGTTTTCCCTCATATGGAACGCCTTGTGGAGTTTCCACCTCTACATCCTTAAATGGCAGCAGACTGAGAGCGTATTCCAACACTAATCTGATCAAGCGTTTTGAGTAAAATATAAATTCATCTCGAGGTGTGCTGGCATTGCGAATAAATGTGTGAAGACCTTTCACCTAGAAATGCAAATCAAAAACTAAGTAATTAATCATATTTCAAGCGCATGCTCAATACTGTTATAAATCGTATGAACGTTACTCATAACATACATATGAATTATAATAGCATTGATTTTGCAATGGAAAGTGAATAAATTTCCTACTTGTGGAGTCATAGATAGAAGTTTCAGAGAATCTGGCATCGGTTGACCGATGTATGAATGTGCCAGTGCTTCTCGTAGTTTGAACCCTCGCTAAAATGAAGTAAAGAAAAACCTTAGTTCATACACAATAAACACAAACTAATGTTACCAATTGGAGCTGTGTGTGGACGTGTTGAACGATTAGTTGAATAGCCACAACGTTGCTAGAACCGCGTGGAACGATTATATCGGCGTGTGCCATTGTCGGAGCTATGTAATTACTGTATGCTGGTTTCACCATTGTTGAATATTGCTTTAATACACCCACTAAGTCTCGACCGCGTTGTTGAATATCACGCTTCAGGCGTCTTGCAAGACGAACGTCGGAATCCGTATCGACAAAGATTTTCATGTCCAACATCTTGAGAATCTCTGGATTGTGAAACGTGAGGATGCCCTCGAAAATAATCACATTGGCACCGTACATGGTTTTCTGAAAAATAAGGATGACAAATTATATCTAATTAAAGGTTGTGTGTAAATAACGTTGAATTGTAACTGGGAAGAGGGTTTGTCGAAGTTGTGACTAGAAATACTCAGAAGAAGAGATTAGCGGAGAGATTTGTTAGGACCGGGGGTAGATTACAGACGGTATAGTAAACACAGACCGGCGGATAAAAATTCAGTAAAATTGGCAGCACGGTTATTTTTACATTATTTTTCCTATTGTCTAGCAACACTTGCAAATGCTTACACATAGAATGACTCGTATTCAGTGCAGCAAACTGTTATGTAAACAAGCTTTAATTTTGGTTTGAAAATGAAGTTTTTATATCGAGGGGGCGACACATCTAAAATTTAGATGCTCAATAAATCTCACACTAGCGAATAAATTTTCAAAAAATCTTCTTTCATTTCTCGCATTCTGCATCGCGCATCATCTTTTTGCAGGAAATCTTCAAAATCGTGATAAATCTCCTTTCTATCTACTCAGTGTACGCACAGCTAGCCACAGCAAAACACAATATTTCCTGCATCGTAGATAGAGTCGTCTCCCTCGGTTTATATAAAGGATGCATGAATAATTCCCACTATTGCATAAAAAATGTTGGGTTTTCCCGATTCCCCGCGAAGAATGGCATTCTGAAACAATGAAAACTGTTTTGCGGACTGCCGGAAGATTTTCGAATAGTCGGAAGTAACCGACTTTGTAGCGTAAGTAAACTTATTTTTCACAAGTGAAGACTTAACAACAAAGCTTTTCAAACCGATTTTAGTTGCACTTTGGCGAGGAGCATGTATATTTGGACTGTGGAGGAAAAATCAGAAATGTTTCCGGGGCGATTCCCTGCTACTCAGATGTCCACCAAATTTCTCATCTAAAACGCACTGATCGTAGTATGGAGGATAACGTTGATGATATTGAGAACATACATCCAAGCCCACAAACCTCGACAGTATCAAGTATGCAGTATCAAGTATGCAGTATCAAGATATTGAATATCTTGACGAAATTTTCCTACAGCCGGATGAACATGACGGTGAAAATAGTGCCGATTTTGTTTATTATTCTCAATCCGTTAATGATACAAGTATGCAATCAAATCTTACGGAGAATCTTGAATGTAACCAATTTGTCTGAAACAAAACCCAGAGTCAACAGTGTCAAAAATAAAGTTCTGTGAGATCAAATAGTGATTATTTTGTGTGTTAGATCAATGTGAATCTATTGCGTACTTCACGTCTAACTGGACAAATGATCGCATTTTAACTTATTAAAAAGTGTGATAAAAGTGCTCGTTTACGTCTCATGTTATTGGTGTCTTCGGTGCGCTTATTTCTTGCATTATAAAGAATAAATGCACCCAAGACACCAAGAAGATTAAACGTTTTTTTATCATTAAAAACATAATAACGGAAAACCATGTTCGGGATTACAATACTCTCCACACATTATTCGTTTGTCCGTTTGGCTCAACATTTTGACAGTTCGTTTGGCTCCGCTAGATTCGTATCCGCCGGTCTGTGTTTACTATACCGTCTGTAGGGTAGATCTCAAAGTTTGTTTCGAGAGAAGCCAATTATCAAATGGATCAGGGGGCTGTCCGTCAGCAAACCACGTGGACTTTTAGGATTTTAGGCTCTCGCGCGGGGGGCATGGAAAATAATTCATGTTTTTATCTTTTTTTTTTTTGACGATAGTGTCTCCCAGGGATGGATCGCTCTGTTGGGACTTTTCATTAGTTTTTAATATACAGGGTGGCAAGTGAATTTCTGATTTTAAATTCCTGGTTTTTTCCCGGGTTTCCTGGTATCTTCTACAGTCGTACCTAGATATACAGCAACGTTACGTTATATCGAGTTACGATATATCGAAGCAAAAAATTTTTTTTTTTTAAATCGGAACTTGTTTATTGTAATGGAAATTTTTTTCTAGTCATCTAACAGGTTTACAAAACCTTTCTTGTATAATTTCCCCCAATTTTATTAGATAAGTTCCCAAAGCTTACATGAAAGATATGATAGGTAGATATAATTCCACGAACCCCTCATGTTGTCTGTCAAACTTTCATAGCGAAACATATTGTAGTACTAGAATTTCGACTGAACTAAAGAATTTGACCAATTTTAAATTTACTCTTTTGCAAAAAAAAAATGGATGGCCTGGACAAGGGCCCTTTGGTTTATAGCGAATTTGTTTTTGATTCAGTTCCAACCTGGATCGGGAATCAAGATTGGGTCTGCTTGTTGTCTATTAAACGACAGTGTGATAGTTTGTTTTTGTAACGTGCTCGGGTTGAGGTTTGCACTGACAATAAACTGGGGTTCGCACGGGTTGGAACTGGTTCCCCCTGGATAATAAACAAATTCGCTATTAGTTACACTTAAGTGTAGAAGGCTGATAATACGAGCAACGGGAGGTCTTTTGAGATAATGATGACACACTTAGAGTGGATTACACAAAGGTTCGTATTCTTCTGGTAGTGGTGGGTTCGATCTTTGTCGTGGTTGTGGAATTCTGAGATCTTAAGGCACTTTCTTCACAGCTACGGTGAGCTGGTTTGATGTTTTTCGTCATTACGATAAGGCGCTTGATGACGTTGGCCCATAGTGATGTGTCTCACGATCAGCAACTGCACATTGGCGGTGTGGCTTCTTCACTACTTCTCTGGCTATAGCGGTCTTGTAGGCAACCTGGGTGCAAGCTACTTGCGGGAGCCTATCCCCGCATATCGTTCGATATGAACACGTCCGAAGTTCGAAAGGAAATGCGGCTTCGGCTTGTTTCGTTTGGTAACAACTATGTGATGTCTTTGTTAGGAAAGGCACCTTGTGGTCTAAGCAAATATATGGGAAATTTTGATGCCACAAATTTTAGATAAAATTTCTTAGTTGTTTAACTATTTTCACTATTCGTACTATATGCCACAAAACTGCTGGATTAAGCCCCCGTCGAATGGCAAATTGCATGACATATTTCACAATAATGCTTTGGAGAAATATGCGTTTGAAAACCCCCCAGTATAGTAATGAAAGACGTAGTCTTTCGTCAAGAAACTATAAATTGAGGAAATTAAGTATCGAATTTGAAATTTTAGGATTATTTATTTGATCAACAAGTTTTCATGGTTTTCCTTGAGCAAAAAGAGTAATTTCTCAATTTTATGTATTCACCAATTTGTCAACAACTTTTGAACGCATCTCACGCAATGTATACTGGCTATTTAGCGGTCAACCATTCTCCTCTGTGTATCTGATGACCACATCAAAACCGTTTAATGCTGCCTCATCGGATACGATTGAGTTGTAGTCACTCTCGTCACAAGTCATAGATTGTAATGTACCATCCAGCGTTGGTCGCGTAGAATCGTCTCCGGCATAGAAATTGTCCACATCTTGACTAGGGTTCAGGACGCTTGCGATGATTTCATCATCCTCCGTTGCGTATTAAGCATCTTCCTCGTCAATAACCTCTGACAATGTAATCTTCTCCGCAATATCCAGCAATTGTTGTCTAACAACAGATAGTGGTACATCATCCTTATCTTCAATTTCTCCAGGCTTGTAGAGCATGTTCCATGATTTGCGAATCGCTTCTGCAGGAACTTGCTCCCATGGATGAGCAACCCAAAAGATGGCTTCCTTGATGTTAATCTTCTTCACACATTCGCCGAAATCTCCTCCACGAGCCTGAATTTCTCGCATCATTTGATTTTTGGATTTCCCAATTATCATCAGAGGAAGCTTTAACGTACCATCCATATTACTGCATGGCATGAATGTAACCCTTTCCTTGATTATTTTGCACCCGGGTGCAGAATTTGCATCTTTGTCAACGTAGGTTTAAAAAACAACCCACTTTCGTAAGAATTGGAAATCTGACACGGAGATTTTTATTCCACATTTCTGCTACGAAATTGGCTGTGTATTGATCAATAACTGCCACATTACTGGATAATTTTTCCCCACTTAGTTTCAGTAGGCGAATACCGTATCTTTTTATGAACTTTGCAATGTAACCGCGGCTTCCGAAGTCTCCTTCTCCAACAATTTGGTTGAAAAACTTCTTTCTCTGCATTTGAAGCGTCTCTTGACTTACCGGAATATGCAGCTGTCGTTTCTGGAGAAACCAGATGTATAGAGCTTCATCCACCTTTGGTTGTTGAGCTTGTTTGAAGCGCTTGCGGTTAACTGTAAATGGTCATTAATGATAGTTCAACTTGGATTTACTCTATGTACATATGTACTACACAGAAAAAAAAAGTTGTTGAATATTACATCCAAACTGCTGCAACCAGGTCAATCCATCGGTTGTGTAATATAACGTTGTACGATGTACATCGATTTTGCGACCAAAAATTACATCCATTGATGTAATATTGTATCTGCTTTTTGCTATTACATCATTATTTCATACATCAACTTGAATTACATTGATCGATATTACATTTTTTTTTTGCTGTGTATGTATTGTGTGTCTTACCAAGAGTTCCTTGCTGTTCCCCGAATTTCGTGAGAATTTTGTTCTTGGCATATTTTATGCTGTAAATGGTAAAAGCAGACCCAATTCTCCATTTTCGAGCTCTTGTATTATCTTTACCTTTTCAGTTAACAATAAACACGCACGTTTTTTCATTTGCGCTTCTTTGCGCGGTGAACGAACCATTTTTATTTTATTTTCGAAGACTTTTCTTCCTGGTACGTATCCGTAGCAATAGATAACCAACAATATTCAAAATGTCAGACAGAACAGTGTGTGCAGAATTTTTGGAGATTTACAAATTCTTATTTACAGTGCTACCTAGAGGTAACTATGGTGCTACTGAAAAACATGAAATACATACACGATATTTGAAAACTTCCCAAATTTGGGTACAATTCACCCTGATCGCTCAAAACTGAACCTACCCAAAAATGGGTAAACTGTGTTGGAAGTGACAAGTTAACAAATGAACTACGTCGGTCGAATTCATGCCAATGTTTTCCATTTGT